CGACATGAAGCAGTGAGGAGAAGAACCCGGAGAGATGTCGGGGAACACGTGACCTCGGTTTGTTCCAGACGCAGGAGGAGCTGCTCTGCCTCCTCTCATGTGAAGATGTAAAGACTTCTTTCAGGGAAGTCATGAATGAATTAAATGAAGAGTGTAATAATGTGTAAACTCATATCTCATATTCATAAACTACTCTGTTGTCTTCATACTAACCCCGTAAGGACAGAAGTATGAAGTGTTTTATAAAGACACAGACGCTGAACATCCTGTAAACTATCTCATTTAGCTGATTCACTCTCATGAAGAGTTTTAACACTTCCTGTTTCTAAAGAATTTAAAAACAAACGTTTTTTTGTAAAATCTTCAGAAATGTAAATCGTGTTATCATCAGCAGACTATTTGTGACGTCACGAGCCGAGTTACAGAAACTAGCTGCTCGAGCGAGCGTGTTCTCAACCTCGAGGAAGAGCTAAGGACACGTTAGCGTCATGCTACCAGAGTCCTGCTGGTTGTTACTAACTACAGCTGGTCATGGCCGTGACGTTGAACATGAAGAACGTCTCATTATGACGATCGCCGGACAGGAAGTCAACTTGAGTGTGCGTCACTATTGAGCGTCCCCTAGAAACAGCCTCGGTTGTTTCCTGTTCCTGTGTGCAGACGGTGGAGATGAGCTCTCAGGGCCACCGTACTTCACTCAACGTGTTACTGGAACTCTCAACGACGCCTTTAAAGAGTCACAACTACTGAAGAATAAACAATCAGCCCTACAGGTCGACATCAAGCTGTCTTATTGTTATTATTATTAATGTGGAGGCAGCTCGCTGATCACATGTTCCCCTGAATAGTATCTGTACAACACGCGTGTTTGTCCGTGTTTCAAAGGTTTACATGCTGGAACTCTTCTCACCTCTCAACTCTCACACGTGTGAAAGTGAAGAAGATTTTGATCATAGAGGAAGAGGAGGAGGGAAGGGTCAGGGGTGAGGAACAGATGAAGAAGAGGAAGAAGGAGAAGAGCAGGTGCATCGATTAGAAAAACGAGTCCCTCCTCTCGTCGTGTTATTGCAGAAGAAGAAGAAGAAGAAGAGGAGGAGGCGTTCAGTAGAAAAAGTTGAAAGTTCTTTCAGCCCCGTCGCTCATCTTGGAGCTTGTGTTGTGTTCAAGTGCTCTCTGTTCATCAGAGTTCTGTTCACATGAACACTCCTCCTTCTGCCTGCCTGAACTTCTGTCCATCTTTTCTTTCTCTTCTTCTCTAAAGTTCTTTTTGTCCTCCCTTTCCTTACTTCCTCCACTACTCTCTTTTACCTTTCCTCCATTTCTCCTCTCTCCTCTTCCTCCCAACCCCCTCCATCTTTTTCTTTCCCCCCTTTATTTCTTACCCTCTGCAACAGACAGACAGGTAAGCAGGCAGACAGACAGGCAGGAGCGTCCCGTCCAATCAGGAGTCTTGGTTTTGATCACATGCCTGTGGAGGAGAGTCCCAGGCCGGAAGCTTTGCTCATGCAGGGTAAACCTTGAGCTCCGGATTTCGGGAAGTCGTTGGTCACAACTCGTACGTTCTCTCCTCCGAGCCCCGAAGCTCCTCCTCCTCCTCCTCCTCCTCCTCCTCCTCCATAACCGCCCGCCACGCCTCCTCCTCCTCCGGTGCTCGTCATGGCGGCATCGATGAGCTCCTGCAGAAGAGAGAAAGGGGAAAGAAATTCAAAGACACATCGTTCACCAGAAGTGGTTCATAAACTAGACACAGATCAACACAAATGATTATTATCACTACTTTATGAGAACTGTGTTGAAGAGAGAGAGTGTGTATTTAAACATATACTGAATATATATGTGTTGATATACACATATATATCCATATATGTGTATATAAACTAGTGCTGGGCAACGATTCAAATTTTTAATCGCGATTAATCTCACTGTTATGGCAAAGTTCAATAATGAATTCAAAAGTAGTGTATTGCTCTCTTTTATTTTGAAAGTGCTGCTCTATGAACTAAAGGTGAATAACATTGTGTGTAAACACTTTAAACACATCAGGCTGTTGTTAGCAGCAGTGTTCTCTTCACACAGCAGCAGTTCTATCTCTTCACTATCTGTGCTCAGTGTGTGACTGTGTGTGAAACGTTCCACTGCTGTGCAACAGGAACAACATGTTCCACACGTTCCATCTACATGTGTGTGTTGTGTCTTCATGACAGTCAGAGCATGTGATGCAGCTCTACTCTTCATCACTACGATGCTGTAACTCAGAGGTGATGAAGGTGACCCAGCTCTACTCTTCATCACTATGATGCTGTAACTCAGAGGTGATGAAGGTGACCCAGCTCTACTCTTCATCACTATGATGCTGTAACTCAGAGGTGATGATGGTTACCCAGCGATCAAAGAATAAAGACACTTTACCCACAATTTAGGTGTATTTTCCCTTTAACTCAGGAGATGCAGCATGTTTTATACTTAATGTGATTATAATTCATACTTTGTTGGCATCTTATTCTGAAAACCGGATGTTCGTCTGAAGAAACCGGATGTTGTCTCACGTTAATTGTTCCGCTAACTTTCAAAGTCCTTCGCTCGCTCCCGATCCAATTATTTTATAGCGCGTTAACGCATGTTTTTATTTTGAAAGTCCGTTGCTCACTGGCAGCGGTGGAGGAATGGAGACTACTGGACATCGCTGCGGTAAAGTCAGCAGACACTCAGATCTCCGTGGTCAACTCATCAGACACTTACATGTTAGTGCACCTATATGCTGACATTCATGGCAAACGCATTGAAACGGCACGGATCGGTAGCGAGCGAATCATCATCATCACCTCTGAGTTATAGCATCATAGTGATGAAGAGTAGAGCTGCATCACATGCTCTGACTGTCATGAAGACACAACACACACATGTAGATGGAACGTGTGGAACATGTTGTTCCTGTTGCACAGCAGTGGAACGTTTCACACACAGTCACACACTGAGCACAGATAGTGAAGAGATAGAACTGCTGCTGTGTGAAGAGAACACTGCTGCTGACAACAACCTGATGTGTTTAAAGTGTTTACACACAATGTTATTCACCTTTAGTTCATAGAGCAGCACTTTCAAAATAAAAGTGCACAATACACTACTTTTGAATTCATTATTGAACTTTGCCATAACAATGAGATTAATCGCGATTAAAAATTTGAATCGTTGCCCAGCACTAATATATATATATACATGTGTATATAAGCATATAGTGTATTTTACGTCATGTATATTTCTTTCAGGATGTAAACAGGTTAGAAATATAAAGATAGAAGCTGAAGTGTAAAAGTGAACAACACATCACCTGTTACAACCACTAAACATTCCGTATACCTATAGTAGCTAGCGTCGCATAGACGTGCTAACGCTAGTGACTGCTGTGCTAACGTACTCTGCTATAGTTCTTTCAACCTTCAGCCTCTCCAGGTATCACTGTGATCCACTAAACCAGAAACCAGTACAGAGAGCAATGCCACGCTGTGATTGAACAGTCTGCGTCAGAGGGGGCGGGACTTACCGAGAGGTCAGTTAAGATGTGAATAGACCAGACCCACCTTCATTCTTCGGGACTCGATCCGGGACTTGTAGCAGAACTCGACCAGAGCCACGAGCATGGCGAGCCCCAGCCCTCCGATCAGGATGTAGAACACTCCGGCCACGTTGCTCAGACTGAGCGCGCTCGTCTTGTCCTGTCGGCGCAGAGGGGTCGGGGACAACCAATCGTGGTGCAGATATATCATGACATCACTACTGTTAGAATAAGAATCATAATATAATCTTTTCTAACTAACGAGACACCTGTTATCTTTCAAAGGCTGTGATGAAGAGGCTGTAAGATGAACCATGTCTATCATATCTAGTTGACTACATCATGTTGACGTGTGAGTGATTTCTGCATCCTATTCTGTGTCTAAATACCGTTACTTCATCCTGTCATCCGTTTGCTCTACACCTTTAACCTGCTGACCTTCTGTCTGAAGTTGCTTCTGTACTGTTTCTTTTCTTCATTGACTCTTATCCTACATACCTCTCATGCTTCACGTCTGTAACTTCCTCTCTTCATCTGTATTATTCCCGTCTGCTGCTCTCATCTCGTCTCAACAGAGTTTTCTCATGAACAATGTTACACAACTTTCTTTGGCTTTGACCGGCATGAAAAACTGTTATTGAAAATCTGGTTCTTTAATGAAAAGTCAAAAGTGTACAAGCTTGTGTAAACAAAACAAAGAAAGCTCCCAAGGTGCATCTGGGCAGGGAACGTCCAATCAGAGAGCTTCTAATGTGGTTGCGTTTGCTGCTAAAGATTATAATGTTGAAATAAATGAATAAACTGTTGTATTGGAAAGTATTGTGACATAGAAGCGGTTGCAGAGGCTCATGGGTAAAAGTAGTATTTAGAGCTGTTGTTAAACTTACGGCCATTCTGAGAAACAAATTCTTAAAAACTGGTGATCAGAACATAAACTTGTATTGATTATTCAGTGAGTCTTGAGGTTCTATGTCAACTAGTAAATTCGTTATAATCCGCTTCGCAACTCTATGAAAGATGCAGTTGCATTGTGGGAAATGTAGTATCCAGCATATAGGATTTGTCTCTTGGGAATCCCCCAGCACCCCTTTCATCTCCATTTCTGACAGTAACACCTTTTCTATTGCCTCACACCACAGCCTTTGATAATAATCCATATGTATTCATCCGTCACATGCAGCATCATGCAGAGAAATGCAAACAAAGAAAGAGTCTCTAACGACTGATCGTTTATGTAAATGATTTCTCTTAAAGTTCACATTTCTACATAAATTCTGACTCAATCTGTAAAGAAGAACAAATCCTCCTTAAAAAGGGATTTGATTGGTTGTTGAGCTCTTGTTTCTATGACATAAATGGTTGTTTTTCTGTCACATGCATCTCTTGTTTTGGTGGGCGTGGCTTAGCTCTGACATCCAATGGCATGCAGCCTGTTCCAAAAAAAACAAAAACCGAACAGGAGGAAACAGCACTCAGAGTGGGCGGGGCCTCTCTTCAACAGGAAGTGTTGTGATGTTGGGGTGAGCCTATCAGAGAGCTTTCCTCTCCACACTGTCGCGTTAACTCTCAGCCAATCAGCTTCCGTCAAATTATAGTAAAAGACACTTAAAGTCAGACTGAAGTCAAGTTATTTAAAATAACAGAGGAACACTGTTTTGTTTTTAAAGCGTAACTAAATCTCAAACTCTTATTTTGAGTATGCACTCTTACAATAAGGGTTCCAAACGGGTTCTTCCTAAAGAGCTGAGGTTCTAAAACTATTTACTTCTGAAGAGCCTCTTTTTAAGAAAGTTGTTTTTAAGTTTTTTTTGTAGCATTAACAGCTCGATTTCAGTCCAAAGAACCCTTTTTTAAAAATAAAGCATTCTTCAATGATTGTTGAAAGAATGGGCGGAAAGGGGTGGAACCTTTACACCACTATAGAACCTCTCATACGGGGTTAATGGTGGAACCTTTACACCACTATAGAACCTCTCATATGTTGTTAAGGGTGGAACCTTTACACAACTATAGAACCTCTCATACGGGGTTAAGGGTGGAACCTTTACACCAC